CTACGTGGGAGTCCAGCGACATAGCCATTACGCTAACTGCTGGTCCCCAAGACAAGATGTATTCATCTATCTGTATTTTCACGAGTTTATAAATATTAGACATAGTAATTTTCAGCCTGGAAAGAAGAGTATGGAAATATTCCACCACTTTTCCTCTTTTGCTTGCTAGAAAAACATATAAATCAAGGGAATCTAAGTTTAGCAAACTTAAAACAGCATGAAAGAACACTACCTTGATAGAGTCTTAGCGTCTTATTTATGTATTTATTTATTTATTTAATGTCAGAGGGCTTGTGCGCACATGAGAGAAAGAGAGGGAGAGTGCACATGTGAGTACATACACACCTGGTCATACTGCAATCTTTTTTTCAGTTTCTTTACTGTCAGAATCCTGGGCCTGAGAATGTATGTGCCTGGCATGTTTTTCAACCCACCAAGGCCAGGACTCAAATCCTGGTCAGCAATGTGGGATCTGGCTTTGTCTGCACAGTACTTACCCTCTGTTCTACAAGGCTGGCATGAGTCTTAGTGTCTTAGATAATGTCAGGGAAGAATATTTATAGGATTTTTAGGACCTAAAGATGAGGGTCTTTAAATGAGTGTTGATGAACAATTTATTCATCTTAGTAAGTAAATTATGTGGTTCGTAGTGTCTTCCAGATATAAGTACAAGAAGTACAAGGGGAGTTTGTCTTCAAATATTTTTTAGAAAATGCATATTATAAAAACACTGTATGATTTCAAATTGTTTTGCACCAAAATTAACTTCATACTTTAATTCCATTTATCCACAAAGTTTTTGAAGTTCCTTGTATTTCCTAAAGTAAGAAGCTAAATTAATTTTGCTTATTCTCAATATTGCTTAACATAAGAAAAATAAAGTATATCTGCCCTGATATTATTTAACAAAGGGAAAGAAAGTATGCCCAGTCCTAGGATTTTTTATACAGAGATGGAAAAGTATACCTCATCTCAGTATTTTTTTATTTTGGAGAGGTTTTTGCTATAGGGCACGTGCACTCGCCAGACAGAGAGAGAGAGACATAGAGACAGAAAGCGAGAAATCACCCCCCAGGGGGGATGGTCATGCTGCAATCCCTTCTCCTCCATTCTCCTCTCGGGATCTTAGGCACGCATGCACACGCGCCCGGCGTGAGTTTTAAGCCACTGGGTCCGGGACGCGAACCGCGGTTGACTACGTGGGAGTCCAGCGACATAATCATTACACTAACTGCTGGTCCCTCATCCCAGTATTTTTTTAACACAGGAGCAAGAAATTATGTGAATTTCAGTTCTCAGTACCAAGGACTGGTGTACTAGGTGGATTTCTGGGGAGTTAGTGCTCTCTTGTACAACTATAACCCTCAACATACCAACCATTAAAGGTCACACATTCTTTCCAGCCAATGAACACACATAAGATAGTGGTTGAGGGACCA